TGTGTGTGTGTGTGTGTGTGTGTGTGTACAAGTTTGAACCTTTATGTCATTCCATGTGATGTGAGATAAAGCTTTGAGTCAGTCTGTACTCCCTCCACTGTTCAAGTGACAAACCACTGTATACCTAAAGGTACAATAACATAGTTCCAATATGATCCTCACTATATCACTCAGCACAATATTTTAGTGTCACCTCTCACGGCTCCTGCATTATTCACAAACCTGTCTCTGGGTCTCTTTCACACCCATCTCACCTTCACTGCTGAACCTGGAGGTCATACAGTGGATTCAGCCTCCCAGCAGTGCTTTTAATCATCCGTAACATAACGAAGTCCTCCGATGAACTTCATAAGGTGGGTTCTTGATTTCTATCTGTCTCACCTCTGCAGGACAAATGAGCCCAGTCGCTGCTAAATGCGGTTAATGTGTGCGGTGAGCATTAGCACAATCAGGTAATGCATGACCTAGCTTTTGGTGGGTCGTGATTTTAACAAGCCAAAGAGAAGTTTCTGGCTATTAGAGTTGTTATGGGACAGGTCGACAAGCAGGGCCACACTGCTGCAGAGGTGCTGCAAAGAGTGAAAAGATGCTGACATCATGAAAAATGTCTGCTTCGTGAGAAAGAATATTTTGCTGTCAATTGTTGCATAAGAATTGAGCAAATTCTACACACAGAATGCAGCTATTAATGTTTCCACTAACTGAGGGGGTGCCAGCAAGAAAATAACTTGATTGGCCTCAATTACTTCATACCTTGTTGCTTTCTGCCTTGAAAAAGAAGAACTATTTTCTCAGGAACAGAACTTGTAGGCCAAATGGAAACGTCACGGGGAAAGACAAGTTCGAATGTGGCTTTGTTCCTTGTAAGCTCCATCTCACCGAATGTCAGAGGTATCAAATAATAAGAGGACGCTGGTTTTCATGTGAAAATCTTTCATCTGTGTATTCAGAGTAAAACTGTGATGCAGAGCCCAATTATTGCCGTCCGACAAAGTAGAGCCAAAGCTCACAGTGACCGCAGAGTCAGGCCGCTCCATTGTTCCCACACGAAAGGGCCAGATCGCACGGGGGCCCCTTTTGTGGTTGGGTCCAATTACTCCAACACCCAGTACCCGCAGTGTGCTGACCCGTGTGGCCGTGTCACCCAGTTCCACACATACCAGCACAAGAATAATACAACGGCTACATTGAACGGGACTTTGGACACTTTTGTGTGTGTTTGGCTGTGTTGTGTACAGTAGACAAAGCAGTACTATAAGGAAAGCATGAGCGCAAAACTGTGGATATACTGGCGTGCATACGTGTTCATGTTGCCATTTGGGGGGTGGGTTTCACTCACTTCAAACATTTGTAGCAATATTGCTCCCACCCTATGACCAACACTTGCCGACAGTGGGAAGGAAAAACTCTCTTTTCACAGGAAGAAACCTCCAGCAGAACCAGGATCAGGGAGGGGCAGTCGTCTGTCACGGCTATTGGGAGGGAGACAAGAAAAAAAAAACACTGTGGAAGAGAGCCAGAGATTAATAACAACTAATGATTAAATGGAAAGTGGTGTATAAACAACAACAAGTTAGATAAATGCATATATTAGGGGAAAGTACTGTATGATAAATGTCTTAACAGCATTAATCCTCATGTGCCAGTGAGAAAGCTCGACGTAGAGACACATTACACCATCTATTCCCTCCACACGGTTGTAGTCATTTGCCCTCTGGCAGTATAAACATGTGTATAGTTTGGAGCCCCTCACCCCTTTCCTGTGCACTTGCCTCCACTCCTCTCCAGCGTCCATACATTGAAGTGTACATTTCCCAGCCCTCGCCCCCGTCACAGCCAGTTACTCTATTTGTTTTCAATGCTCTTGATATTTCACATGTGCTTTACTTCGTCTGGCATATGTTGACAACCTGCAGACAGCTTTTAGATTCCAAACTTTCGACCCCCTCGCAACCCCCCGCCCCCCATGTCTGTCTGTCGACATTACATAACTAGCCCAGGAGTTTGGTTTGTCCCATGCCAACAAACGAACCTCGCCCTCTTCACCCTCAAGATGCATCGGTGACTTTAAAACACACTCCTGTTTGCAGTCATTTCCTAAAGTTTCCTTTGATTCTGGACTAAAGGCCAATTCATGTGACACAACAAATTAAAAATAACTCCATTTATTCACTCCACCAAACTATTTATTTTCTCATTAACTGATAAGCAGTTTTTCTTTTGAACTGCACCAAGTGCAACTTAATCCGTCATGTGTGTTTCTTAACTCTTATCTGCCTCGCTGTTGTGTGCCACCTTCAAAAGCAGGGACTATGGCATCCTCATACTGGTTATTTATTTCTTTAAAGTATAGAACTGAAGTGCTTCTGTTCTTTGATTTACTATGGCGTTCCCCAAGGATCATTACTGGGACCACTGTTGTTCAGTGTGCAAGTGCTGCCACATTGTCAAATCCATCTACACTGATGACACACAGACATTTCTAGTAGTTCTTCCTAGACTTTGAAAGTAAAGGTTTACTTGTAAGGAATCATTTGGGTGCATTTGAACATTCTTCAGTCAAAAGTTTTCAAGGATGTCTCCATTAATCTCAAGGTAATGGATCTAAATGGATCTAAAATCAGGTGAGAAAAATGTAGCAACCGTTGAGACGAGTCTGTTTCTGATGGGATGTAAGAATTTTGGAGGCAAAGCCTTGCTAGATAGGTCATGCACATGTTTGGGGTCATTTTAGACATGCTAACAAGCTCATTACAAAGTATCTCAACTGCTTAGTTGAAAGTCTTTAATGTGGTTGCAAATCTTTTGTACTTAGCGCAAAGAACCATCAGCTAAGGCCGGGGTGAATGTCAGTTTTCAAAGGTGTTTGGTCATATGTTAAAGTGGACACTCCTTCCTTCTTATATTTTATCCTATTTTCAAGAAAATCTAAATACATAAGGACATTTCTTTTACTAATAATGAACATTATGACTGTAAAATAGTCTCATTTTGTGCATATCAAAGACTATAAAGGACAAGAGTAACCTACTAAATGGTTATTATTTACCTTTTGACGAATATGTGTCAGCTTTTGGTCAGCGTTACTCACTGGTGGCGAATCATTCGGAACCATTACGGTCAGTGTTTGTAATTAGGATTGCTGGAAATCAACCTGCAGCAGGTTTCACAAAGTGAGCTGAACTCTCTCTGCGAGAGGGACTGCTCTGTGTGTTTGGGTCTAGCCAACTGTTTGTTTAGCCTCGGCTTAGACTGCAAGTGGTCTTGTACCTCACACACACACAGACACATACACACTGACACACTGCTCTGATCGCCTCTTGACCTTTGCAGCCAGCTTGCCACCTGTTCTCCTGTTATTTCTGCCAATATTGCCGTAACTCCTTGTCCTCTCAGTTCTTCTCCTTAATTTCCGGCAATCCTCCATCCTTTCCCAGCTGTGAGTGATTCTTGAACTTATTTTTCTTTACCCGCCCTGCTTTTCTTTTTCTCTGCATGTCTGCAGAGGCCTTCGAATGAAAGCGAGTTTAGGAAGTCTTGGCAGAGGGAAGAAGTAGAAAATATGCTCAGTTTTGGGGGGAATTTCCTGTATTATTCACTCGTCACTATTTATCAAACAGGAGATTCCAAGTTTTCACCCGCTTGTTACACTGGGTTATATCAATGAAAGGCATGTACACAAAAAAAGGAGCGGAACAAAAAAAGCTCTCACATTAATATCTGGGAGGGGATGAATGAATAAATAAATGAAATGGAAAAGGGGTGTAAAGCGCAGCGGGGTGAAAGAGTATGGGAAAAGGGGAGAAGAGAAAGCCAAAATATGAAGGCTAACTTCTCTATAAGTCCTCCGTTTCTGAGCAAAATAAACAAGCTTCCTTTTGTAGTTTTCAGGCCTTTCCACACACAGGCAGAAACTTCAGTTTTGCTCTAGTTAGCCGTCCGTGCAGTCAGAATCAGCCATGGTTTGCTTCCTCTTTCATCCAGCAGCTAATTGGCAAAAGCACATGCGGTCTTCCTGTATCTGTGTGCATTGTGAATTTCCAGTAAAATGCTATATATGTTCCATGTCCTTAATTGTATGCACTTACAGCTATCTGAGTGTGTGTTTCTGTGCGAGCAGGTCCCACCCAGTCAGTCATGTGTGTGAGTGCAGAACACAAGGCAGTTTGTTCCAAACCGATCGGCCCGGAACGGGTAAACACCCTCCCCACAGAGCCTCTCACACACGACCCAGCAGGCCTGTCAGCACCATTTAACATGACAATTCATCCTCTCCATGGGACATGTGTGTGTCTGCGCGTGTGTGGAAATGCATGAATCTCAGTCTCCATATATGTATGTGCAACTACGTGCCGAACGCATATTTTTTAAGCATGTCCCGTTGGACTGGCTCATGTGCAGGCCTGCTTGTACTGATGGAACGGTACGATTTGCCGATTGATTTTAGCACTCAGTGCAGCCAGGCAGCGCCGCCTGAGGCATCATCTGCATGGACATGTGTGGGAATCAAAACAAAGATCAATACTGTGTACTCTGGCAAGGCAGACAGACAGATGGTGGAGGAGAGAGTGAGCAGGGAGAGCAAAAAAAGTGCGTATTAAAATCATTTTAGCTTGAAGAAAGGTGCCAAAGAACAATGACAGGCACATCTTTAATCTGGATCAGTCAGCACACTGGATTTAACAACAGCTTTTGAGAAATTAACATATTGTGTTGTGGTTAAAGACATTAGAAGTAAATTGTGAACAGCTGGGACTTACTGAAACTTTTGTGTGTTGTGTTGCAGATACATCCACCATAATTGGAAGTCACCTTGTACACTTGCACAATAATACCTTAACTATCCCATCTGGAGGTACAACCAGTATAGCTGCCCTCTATCCAAGATGAGAAGCAGAAGTTCTTCTATACAGCCTTTGGTTCAAACAGGTAGCTGGTGACTGAAATGGGAAACGCAACGACACCTGTAGCTCTTGCCATAGACTGTAGATAAAAGATGGGAGTAGCGACTAGTATCTGAGCTTCTCATTTTGAAACCTTCAGCATTTTGCCTCCCGTCATGTTGGTGTAATGATTCACAATATTTGGACAAGAGGACAAAAGACTTCATAAACGGCCTACACCAAACAGCAATCCATATTATTTGTCAAATAATTCCAGTGAAAGCAAAATGGAAAACGCAACAACACCATAAACCAGGCCCAGCTCAGTGGCTAGCGGGCGCGAGGCCTTGCAGGTGACATTGGCCTGTGTCGACACACCATAAAAAATAGTTCAACCACGATACAGTTGTAGAGTTGGAAACTATCCACGATGAACAAAATCAAGCTGTAAATATGCTTTTATAGTCTGTATAGTGGGGTATTTTAACATGCAGTTGGCTTCGTTCTGTAGCCCCATAGGTAGCGTGTTGGTTTTGGAAAGTGAAGAAGAGTGACGTAAAACCAAACAATCATATGACCTCCTATGAGCAAGCACTTTGGCGACAGTGGGAAGGAAAAACTCCCTTTTAACAGGAAGAAACCGCTGACAGAACCAGGCTCAGGGCGGGGCGGGGCCATCTGCTGCAGCTGGTTGGGGTGAGAGGAGGAAGATAAAAGACATGCCTTCTCTAAAATCTGAGCAATAAACTGTAATTCTGAGATGGGTTTGTTACTGGCAAGAGGAGAGAAGGGTCAACCTTGGGTTTTTTTGGTTTTTTGTAAAAGTGGTCGGAGGACAGCATTCCTAAAATAAGCAGGGACTTTGCTAGACACTGGTGAAGCGTTGATTACGGCGAGTACACGGGGACCAGTAGATTAAAGGGCATTTTTGAACTCATGGAGCTTCCTCCTACATCACTCGTAACTTCTCCTCCCCCAGCATGAGAGGACTGGTCCCTGCAACAAGCCAACCGTTTAGCTTCTTCAGCAAGTGGATGATTTCTATGCTGGAGCAGACTCGAGATCCAGAGTTTCAAAGTAGCTTTACTTATATTTCATTTAATTGTGATGAACTACAGATTATCTTAGACCTCATATCTTGAGATTGAGTATGAAGCCCGTTATTTATTTGTTATTAGCTTTTGATTTAAATGTGCAGTATTTTTTTGTCCAGGACCTCTGTGGCCACCACTCCTGTGACACGCTGGGCATGGCGGACGTCGGCACCATCTGCTCTCCAGAGAGGAGCTGCGCCGTCATCGAGGACGACGGGCTTCACGCCGCATTTACCGTCGCCCATGAGATAGGTAGGCATGGATACACACACACAGCAACACAAAGATGTAAACAAGCCAGGGCTTGCACATGCACATCTGTCAGCACTCTGTCTTCCTCTCGCTGATTAATCTCACACCAGTGTTCCCTGATGTCATACCACTGATAACATTAGGTGTGTTTTCTTTTCTCATTCTTGCTGCGTGTGCAAATCTGAGACAAGTCCTTCAGGGGGAAAAACAAAAATGTCCTCTCTCGTTGTGACTCAGGTCACCTGCTTGGTTTGTCCCACGACGACTCCAAGTTCTGCGAAGAGCGCTTCGGAGTGAACAGCGACAAGCGGCTCATGTCCTCCATTCTCACCTCCATCGATGCCTCCAAACCCTGGAGCCGCTGCACCTCAGCAACCATCACCGACTTCTTCGACGACGGCAACGGTGAGCGTGGGAGAAGATGCACGACAGCAATGCTTGTAATTTCTTTCTAAAAGTGAGAACTTTTCCCAGGCTGCCACCTCCAAATTGCATCCATGTGAATTTGACTGGTGATAGCTATCACTGAGAGCTGTTTACTACCAAGCAAAGCAATAATCTCTATTAATAGAGGCTTATTTACAATCCTGTTAAGTTCTTTAAAGAGCAGTTGCAGTGCAGCCAAAGATCAGGATGAGTCATGCTTTGCATTCCAGTTTGATCAGGCAGTTTTATTCATGACAACCATAAAGCACCACAGTTTGCTGACTTTTTGCTCAGCGTTTCCATGGATTTCGGCGTATTTCATGTACCAACAGCATGATTTAAGGCTTGACAGCATGTGCTGCTGCTCCAGCACTTTTATTGAGTGATAGGTCATAATGGCCTAGTTTATCTGTCAACTGAAAGAAGCATTCGTACACCAGTGCACAAACAGTATGCACGGCACAGATCTTTAAAAACACCTCCTTCCTCCACAGCCGAATGCCTCCTCGACTCGCCCCGCCAGGCCCTCCTCGGCCCCGAGGAGCTCCCGGGGCAGAGCTACGACGCCGTACGCCAGTGTCGCCTGGCCTTCGGCCCTGAGTACACGGTGTGCCCGGGCATGGACGTATGTTCGCGGCTGTGGTGCGCAGTGATTCGCCAGGGACAGATGGTGTGCCTGACCAAGAAGCTGCCGGCAGTGGAGGGAACGCCCTGTGGGAAGGGTCGCATCTGCCTGCAGGGAAAGTGCGTGGACAAGACCCGCAAGAAGCACTACTCGGTAAGAGGGATGGATGGATGGTGTTGGAGTCTAAGGTAAAAGACGCAGAGACAGAAGGAATTTGTCAGGAGAGACAAAAGGGAGTCGATAGAAATAGAGTTCTTTTTATAGCTCGCAAGCTGATATTTTAGGATCTCATTTCCACATTGTCTCCTAAAAACAAGTTTGTCCAAAGAGAAAAAGTATACACTTCATATGTAGAGCACACAGGGGTGCTTTGGAGAGCGCATGGAAGTAGAAGGTCAGTAAAAAAAAATTAAAGCGAGCAAAAGATCAAATTCATTGTGTGGCCTTCATTGTGTGGTCTGCTGTATTCAAGACACTGCTGATCTGTGCTATTTGTTCCGTCGGCCTTACTCAAACAGGCCCAAATTGAATTTGGCCTTCATGAGTTAAAGGATCCAATCTGTTCTTGGCAGACTGTCGACCCCGTGTGTGTGTGTGCATCAGGGGAGGAAAAGAGAGGGAATGTCCAAAAAAGAAAGATTGGGAGCAAGGAGAATATTTTCTCCTTTTGTGTTTGTTTGTCACATGACATTTGACGAGAGCGACTGGATCCTTGGCAGACGGCTGCACGGCTAGATGTGGCTCAAGTTCTGAGTCATTTCATTTTCACTGCTTATATGACGAGCAGTTTCCTGCTCGGAGCAAGCTTAAACCCACTCCCTGTATTTTAGACTTTGGGATCTTTTAACCTCTCCGTATTTCTTGAAGTATGATTGCAGATTGCATAGCTTTTACTGTGGAAAGAATTGGTTCAAGTGCCATAAAACTCTGCAGTGGAATTAAATGGAAAGCTATTTCCAAAGAAATAGGGGGATTACACGATCGAGTTTGTCTCATAAAATGCAAAGAGCTACTTATCCAGTTGTAAGGCTGGTTGGAAAGACACAAAAAAATAGTCATGTTACCTGAAGAATTTCATTCAGGCTGCTCCTCCGGGGAAGCATGTGAGCTCTGACCGCAGATAGAACCTCCTAACGAGTGGCTTTTAAAAAGAGCTATTATCACATGACCATAGTCTCCAATCTTTTCCCGTCTCTTTTCCAAAGTGAACGTCACATTTTGCTTTATCGCAGATCTCTCTCCAAACAGCTTTTCCTATGACACGTGATTTGGCCGACTCCGGCTTCTAGCATGTTTGATAAGCACTAATTGTTCTCTCTCATCTCCTTTTTTTCCTTCATCTTTTATACCCTCTGATCTTTCCTCTGCTGTCATTTTTGCCTCTTTCATCTTCCCTCTCCTCTCTACTCCTTTCGCTCCTCTGCCAGGCGTCCAATCACGGTAGCTGGAGTTCTTGGGGTCCTTGGGGTCCGTGCTCCAGAACTTGTGGGGGTGGGGTGCAGTTTGCCCAGCGCCTTTGCAACAACCCACCACCACGGAACAACGGGCGCTACTGCACAGGAAAGAGGGCCATCTATCGGTCTTGCAGTGTAACACCGTGCCCAACACCAAGTGAGCGTGACAGCTTAAGAATGCATAAGCTATTAGTGCACATCTATTAGTACGTAGTCGTTAATTTCAAACCTCTTTTTACTGCACTTTCCTGCAGACAAGAGTTTCCGCCAGGAGCAGTGTGAGGTGCGCAACGGTCCCCAGACAGATCCCAAAGGGGTGAAGACCTTCGTTGAGTGGGTGCCTAAGTACGCAGGAGTTCTGCCTAAAGATGTGTGCAAGCTAACTTGCAGAGCAAAAGGAACTGGATACTATGTGGTGTTCTCTCAAAGGGTGAGTTACTTAGACGACAGCGCTGTGTATTTAATGACGGGGGAGATGTACACGATTGATCACGATAGCGACTTTGTGTTTTCAGGTGGTAGATGGGACAGAGTGCCGTCCGTACAGCAGTTCGGTGTGCGTAAAAGGGAAATGTGTGCGGACAGGATGCGATGGCATCATTGGCTCCAAGCTTCAGTTTGACAAGTGTGGTATATGTGGAGGTGATGGCACAGGATGCATACGTGTGGTGGGAAACTTCACCAAGAAGAGGTAAGGCAAAAGCATTGTATGCATCGTAGCTCCATTGCATACATGCATGAGCAGGACTGTTAGTTTAAAGCTGGTCAGTTTGTACATGGAAGATGTCAACAACTATGTCGTGGTAAAAATGGTAAATGGCCTGTATTTATATAGCGCTTTACTAGTCCCTAAGGACCCCAAAGCGCTTTACATATCCAGTCATCCACCCATTCACACACACATTCACACACTGGTGATGGCAGCTACATTGTAGCCACAGCCACCCTAAATTTATTCTGATTCTATAGCATGTGACAGCAGGTCTAAACACTGAAAACGGCTTTTAGTTTTATAAGGACAAGATCATGTGTTATTTACTGAACTGACCCCTCTACTTTCTCTCATGCCAAACAGTAAGGGCTACACTGACGTAGTGAAGATCCCTGCAGGCTCTACTCACATCAAGGTTCGTCAGCACAAGGCCAAGGACCAGACCCGGTACACTGCCTACCTAGCTCTTCGACGGCCCAATGGAGACTACCTCCTAAATGGCAAGTTCATGATCTCCACCTCTGAGACAGTCATCCCACTCAACGGTTCTGTGCTCAACTACAGCGGGTGGAGCCAGAGGGAGGAATGGCTTCACAGTATGGGCCCCGGGGCTCTTCAAGAACCCTTGGTGGTTCAGATTCTAGCTACAGATGCCAAAAAGCCTCTGGATGTCCATTATAGCTTTTTCATGCCCCGTCGGACAAATCCACAGCCACGGTCACTTCCTCTCATCCCCAATCCAAAGTTAACTACAACACTGTTAACTACGACAAGAACCACCACCACTACCACTAGCAGGACCACTTTGTCTTCCTACGCTCCTCCTCTTCTTGTTCCAGGGCCATCCACAGCTCCAGGTCCCTCAACCCCGGCTCCAGGGCCACAGTGGGTAACGGGGCCGTGGATGACCTGCTCCAGGACTTGTGACACTGGCTGGCAGAGCCGGACAGTGCAGTGTAAGGACCGGGATGGGAAACTGTCTAAAAGATGTGTGCTGGGTGCCCGCCCCTCAGCCTTCAGACACTGTCTGGTGAAGAAATGCTGAGGCGGCAAGAGGAAAGTGTCAATTGATTAAAGTCTCAAGTGCTGGATGTAGAACTACGAACCAATGAATTAAAAATGTCGAACCTTAAACAGGACAGTGAATGTTGTCAGATAGCACCCAGAATAGACCCAAAGAGACTCTGAGGCAGATTGGCATGGATGTACCTGACCATATGGCAGAGGAATTACCTGGAATAACAATAGCTATGCAGAATTGAGGACAGTTTTGATATGAGAGTGATGACTGTTGCCCTGCCATGGCTAAGTTGCATGCCACATGGACAAATAACTAACTGTCTTTACTTCAGTCTCCAAATTCTGGAGGTCTAGTGTGTGTTGCCCTGTAATGGCATGCGTGTCGTGTCTTCTTATGATTCCATGTGTTCATCTCACTGTGGGAATTTGGAAATCGTCTTTTGTCCTAAGACAAGAGCCCCAACCAAGGGAAGCCTTCGTTACTCATCTCATCATCAGTCACACAACTTTCACACCACATGTCATGAACCTAGATTGTCATCTCCTGTACATTCGACATTTTAGTGTCTCTCACAGAAGGCAGCCCTGACCGACAAAAAGGTCTCTTCCATTAAACAGGCTTCCATTCTGTTAAATAGTGGTCCATAGTCTTCCAATCAAAGGTTCTTTGCTTATAAAAATGTGACTGAAATGTCCATATTACTGTAGCTGCAGACAGATCACAGCTAGCCATATATTTTGACTTCAGGCATTTGCGTCTTTCTTTGATAGATCCAACTGACAACCAAAAACACAAACAGATAGCTCATGAATACAGTTTCCAGCTGAAGGTACATGGGGAGATTGGCTCGATGACCAAGAACAAACGTGAAAACCCAGACATCGATGATACATTGTGTTAAAGCTCTATATTTAATCAAATGTACCAAGGTCAAGACAACTTTTGAGTGATCACTTCACTCAGAATGAGCATAGGAAGAAAGTTTATCCTAAAGACACCAGTATTGATTCTACTGACTTTTACAACTACCCGTTCACTGCAACAGCAGCATAGCATCTTAAAAAAGAAGTTGAATAAGAGGCAAAGTGACCATGACACTCCTTAATATTTATGGAGAATGATAGTGACTCACAGGTCTGGGACAATGCTTGGTTTTAATGCCTGTGCAGTGTGTAAGTGTGAGCATGTTATGTGCCACTACCCAGTCCTGTGTTTTAAGCACATTGAGTATATACCGTGAACATGTTTTACTACGTCTTGAAACTTCTTCACTCTCAGCTCCACATATGTCAGTCATTATACTGGTGCTGAAAGGGTATTTTTTGTGTTAGTTAATGCCTGTTTGTCTGTTTATCTGTTTAGGAAATTATGCTAATATGACATTGTGTGCCCTGGATACTCGCAACGACAGCAAGAGAAATAGTAATGCAGTCATTATTGTCCTTTTGCAATTCAATTCTTTTTTTCATCACATTTTACTCTTTTGCTCATTTTACATGCTGTCCAAGTCATTTTTTCAGGACTGATGGGTGAAGTTGGCCATCATACAAAAATATATTGATGTCACAAAAAAGTCCTTTGGAACAAGGATTAAATTGTTCAATCTGATTGCTGGTTTTTAAAAGCTAATGTCTGACCTTTCGTCAGTAACCTTTTGCTCTTTGCACAAGTCTAAAGACCAGTCGGAGACTATCTGGCAACCACCAGTTGCCAGTGAATGATATGTATTGTGTATGTACAGCTGGTGATTGGTTGTTGAAGGTTGCTAACAGTTGCTGTGAAATCAATTGCTAAAGCCGCTGTCAACCAGTTGCTGACTTATTTGCAAACACTTGCAAACTATTTGCCAAGTAGTGAAACTGTGCAATGCAAAGCAAAAACAAAGACTGCTCACCTTCAAAGTCAAATTTGTGTTGGTTGTAGTGGTATGGCACAACTTTTACTGTAAAGGCAAACGTTCTACCTTTTTGGTTTGTACTGGTGTTTTTCTAAGCTTCACGACAGCTCAGACAGTTTATAAATTGACATTTTCCACAAAAACTACAGGTAAGTGCAGCAATTTGCTAGTGCCCAAGTAACGACAAGTGCCCTGTACAGTGCCCTCTTTGTGACCAACAGCCAGCAACCTCCAGCATCCACTTGGCAACGCATTTTCGCATCTTTCCTCTGTGCCCAGCGGTTGCCAAGGGGTTACTGACCAGTTTATAGGTCTATGTGTCTGAGGTCTTAGCTTGTCTGGTGTTTCCACCAAAAATATAAGTATAGTTTGATGACAGATTTTTTTTTTAATTCAGCAAATGGTAGCATTTTATATGGAATCTAAGGAGCTTGTAAAGAAAAGTGACTGGACTTCTTTAAGTTCTAAAATATGTTTTATCTCTCATCTGAGAGGCTTCTTCAGTTCTTAGATCAAATGTTGGAGAGTTCCAGGTATTTAAGCCCTAGTGGGAGTAGTACCTTAAGAGGGTTGTCAACCCATTATTGATCATAAGTGGACGTCAAGGCGCCTGGGAATTTATTTTTTAAATTTTATATTGACTCCAGGTTCAGCTGTCATTAATGTCATTGGAACTATTTTAACTAACTACCGTAGAAATTGTTATATGTTAGCTAGTAAACACTGATTGTACAAAAAGAAATTGTCATTGAATTGTAAAAAGAAAACAAAGACAAAACACTTGTCTTTTGTGAAATTACACACATAGGCATCTTTTAAACAGAGTAGCGCACAAAACTAGCATGGCTTGCTTTATGCTAATTGTAGATCAAAAATACATTCAAGAAAGATTAAAAATACACACACTGGCATTTCTAAAGTAAAAAAATATGTCATTATACCATTCTTATTCATGTTTTACATAAACTGGAGTGTAAAGTTGTATTCAAATTTGCCTATGTTTGCTGTCTGAATGCTAAACTACGCTAACAAGCTGTTCCAAGACGACTGATGCTTAGCACCTGGCAAATAGATATTAAAACAATTCATTTAGGCAAAACCTTGCTAGTTAATACTTAATCTACTGTAAGCTTTTGTTTAATTTAAATAGACCAACCCCTTAAAATATTCATTTTGGGGTAACACTATATGAACAGCATTAATGTTTCCATAAGAATTTAATACCGAGGACTTTAATTACCTCACTTATTGTTGATAATATTTAATCCCTATTATAACAAAGTAAAGTTAATTACATATCTAATGGGCTTAAAAAAATACCTTCCTGTAATTGTATTAAAGTATCTGGCACCTATTACATTTTCCTGTGTGACCAACCTCACCCATCTGGCATCTGTGCAGGAGAAAACAAAGCATGGGAAGAAGTTGGTGATATGACATGACCGAGGTCACTCTTAAAATGTTTTCTCTTTGCCGCTCAGACATTCACATTTATTTACGCAATGTAGACAATGTTTGTACAATGCATAGATCATTCATATGTGTTAGTATTCAGCCATGTTGTAACAGTAATGTACACATGCAGTCACATTGAAATAATCCATCATTTGCACAGATTTCAGCCATAAACTTCGCAGACACAGACTCCACACACAACCCGACTCTGACTCCTGTGGGGAAAACCCCTCTCGCTGAATGACAGAAACACAGCACTGAACTTGTAATTTATTGTTTGTATAACTGGTATGTGTGAATAAAAAAGCAATGAGATGAGTTTTATTTATTATAGTAATTTTGTATCAAATTACTATTTAACTTAGGAATATGACTGTGCAGAATCATTCCTTTGTAAGAATATAGTGTTTTCTTTTCTAGTCACCCACATGAATATATGTATATAAAATCTATATATTTAAAAGTCTTTGTGTCTGTGTCGTTTTTGTCATGGCATCAGTGTATATACCTGATGGTAGAGTCAATAACATATTGTCTTCCAATTACAGATTTAGTAAACTAGACTAAAAAATGTGCGAATGACAAATACTCTACTATAGATATTTGATCCATTTTAAGGACATACTACTCTGACCTCTGAAGCTGGACTGTTGTAAAGTAATTTAAGTAACCACTTCAGGTTTAAAACAAGAGCCATGATTCAGTTGTAGAAACCACATGGTTTTAGGACATGTCTAAAATCCATTGTTGAATACAGATTGTTAGTGCATCCAACCATGCAAGTTAAGCTTCTACCATGTAAAAATACATGTAGAAACACTCCCACTGTCTCTGGGCCTCAGTCGGTTTAGAAACAACCAAAGTGAATTAAAAATCTGTCCTGTTGATGGACGAGTAAAAACTTGACAGTCTTTCTAGAAATCACTGCGATCCTTCAGGTTTTATGTGAAAGGGAAGATTTGGCTCGTTACCAGTTTCTAGTTTATTACATTGCACACATAACTTGCACATCTGTGAAGGCACCATTAATGGTGGTTGATATATACAGGCTCTGAAATATTGTATCCCGCTTCCAGATGACGTCTTTTGCAAGGAACACCCTGCTTACCTTGCAATGATGCCCAGAAATATTCTGCATATATTACACCATGGTTCAAAGGTACAATCAAGATCTGAACCCATTAAGTGCATCTGGCCCAAACTAACAGCTCGAATGAAGCATCATTTTCCTTTAAAACTAGAGAAACTGGTCTGAGCTTCTGAACACTTACACACAGATCTTAAAGTGGCCCAGAATGATCCATAAATCACTTTAAGTTAATTAAGATGTTGTGAGTTCAATTAATGAGCAATTCGATGTAAAATGTGGGCTAATGCATACTTCTGTGGAATGAGCTAATGTTTTGCATGTTGCAGCATTGCATTGCTTCCTGCATGGTAAACTGGTTAGTTGGCAGTACCATATAGAGAAGATTATAGTGATGCTTAAGCTAGACTGCTACAGAGCAGGCTATCATGTTCATGGTCCAGGTTAGGTTATATTCGGGTAGCAGATTTCTATTTAATACGATGATGCTTAATTCTAACTTTAAATTAGCTTTAGACTAGCTTTATAATGTCCAGGGATTGAAGATCAGCCTTATAACTCTCCTGAAACTGAATATCACATCTCATCTGCTTGTTGAATTCAACTGGCTAAATCCACAAAGAGCAGTGAATATAGAGTAGCAGCCCAGGTCAGCTGTACACAAAGAAAAATCTACTGGAACTAACAGAAGAAATTATTATGTGACTTATTTTTAAGTAATTATTTTCCCCAAGCACTGATGCACCACATCGGTCAGTCCCAGTATTTATGAATCATATTCCTGGCATCAAATTCAAAATGAGCATTTATTTTACAATAAACGATTATATCTCTCAGATTCATTTTTTTGTTTGTTTGTTTTCTTTCAATACTACTCAATAAAATATAGGATTTTGGTGAATTTGTTCATTTATTCACTTCTGACATCATTTCAAGCTACACTGTTGACTTTCCTACACTGCATCTGGCTTAAGTGGGCGAAAGCCCATCTGGATCACCAATTAATGCTGTTTCAGGTGAAAAGTTTCACACCTCACGTTTTTCCTTGAAAATCATTTATCTCCCGTTTCTATTGAACATTTATCATCTCATAAACTTTCTGCGTTGCATAAGCAGCACCCTAAAGCACAAACACTGTTCTCTACGCAGTACTTTCATATTGGTTTATGTGGGAAGGCTGCCCCCTCGCGTTCGGCAGCTCACCCCATTTCTGATGCAAGAGCACCACCTATCGGCCACGCTTATGGTTGCTTTATGGGGTCATGGAAAATTTCTCCAACTGCCTGGAGACATTCCTGAACAATTACCTGCCATCTACTGGAAGTAGCCGAAGTTACAGTTATTCTTTTTTTCGAACCTGTTGCTTTTAAGGTGGAATTCCACAATCTGTCCATTCACACTCATCACTGATGTTTGCTTCTATAAGTCAACAGTAACAACAAACAGAAAAAATAGATACAGAGAGAGAATAAGCAATGTAGGAGCTATCAAATTTGGTCCAAAACAATTAATTCAATCATTTCACACGTGTCTTTAAAGTCGTAACATTAATCTAACCTTAAAACATTTAAGGGTAATATCAGTATGTTTGCCTTTAAAAATTGCATAATTATTTTGATGATTTCTTTAAAAAGATGTATGCGGGCTATTTTCATTCATTTCTGACGTGTCTTGCAAGGACTGTAGATAACAGGAACCTTGCTTTGCCAGTTACTTTTTAATGAAACTCCAGCGTAAACTCTTCCTGTGTCTAAGAGGAGATCAGCAGTCGGTACGGGCGGGGGAAGGAGCCCGAGGGCTGGGGCTGTGCCTGCCGTGGCTGTAGTGCAGAAACAGCACAGTGGAGGAACCGCTCCACCTTAAGACCTCGGCGGCCCCTCTCTGCTCCCTCTCCCCGGGGAGCAGAGCGGTGGAACCTGGCCACGGCGCACCACAGCCGGCTTGGCACAGAAAAGGTGAGTACGGCTTCTGGAGCCCAGGCCAGCACGATATTGTTCCCATTCCCCAGCTTCCCTTCTTCAGCTGCAGTGACACTTCGCCATGCTAGAAACGGATTAACGTCTAATGAACGTTATACAGCTCTGAGAAAGTAGAACACCGCTTCTATAACAAAGCTTTATCAGGTATACACTAAAAGGGGCCTAAAGACGTTTCCAGTGAAATTCTTCGAAAGTCTATATTATAAGGTGAATGCTAATATAACCCACATACAGCAATGATACCGTGAGGGGCTTTAAGAGTAACTGTTCTGACAGATAAGCACGGACCAAAGAAGAAAAGTTCCTCTGCCAAGAGCTCTCTCCTCCACAATGATTGATTATCATGGCAACGCTCCAGGTCGCTGGTGCGTTTTCGTTGCGCACGGGATTCGGCCCCACTCAGATCAAAGGGCCCTCAGGAAAGGGGTGGTCCCGGGATATGGGGATAAATAGGAGGGACCGGCTCAGTTCTGACAGAAGGCAGAACAGACCAGACGGTCCTGCAGAGCAAAGACTTGCCTCTGACCTGACAGCTAGATTTAGACACGGAGACATCTCAATTTTAAAGAAAGAGATAGAGAGATAGAGGCGACCTGTTGGATTTTACAGCCCTTATTGTCGTTTAATGAACGGACTTCTTTGCAACAGTTCAAATCTGCACATAACTTTTAAATTGGTTTTGCACTGGATTTGATTTTTTTCTTAGTTATTTGTTTAGATTTATATACGTGTGCGTAATATTGGGTTTTGGGAGTTCAAAGACCTTTTTTTAGTTCATGGTGGATTTTTAAAGGATTTACTTCTTCATTGTAAAGACTTAACTCTCAGTTTATCTTTCCACTTGTCGGATTCCACAGTTCCATGATGTCGTTTTTACCCATTTCCATCAGTTTAATTGCCGCTCTGTGCGTCTGCGCAGCGCACGGTGCTTGGGAGCAGGGCACCGTTGTGCCGGTCAGGTTAGACCCGACGGCCCGGTCGGAGAGCGAAACCGAACCGTGGCGGACTCTTTCCGCGGAGGAGAGCGAGAAGGAGGCGGAAATGAGGGTGTACCGGTTGGACGTATTTGGCATGCAGCTGGTTTTGCGTCTAGAGCCTGACCAGACCTTTTTGGCGCCAGGTTTTGTCTTCCACATCGTGGGGACTCCAGTGTCTGAACCGACACCGAAACCCAATAGCGGAGCCGAGCCGGGTTGCTTCTACTCGGGCACGGTGAACGGGGATGAGCGCTCCGCCGCTGCGCTCAACCTGTGCCATGGACTCAGGGGAGGATTCTACTTCAAGGGCGAAGAGTACTTTATTCAGCCCCTTACCTCCACTGATTTCTTGGGCACGGACGAAGATGTGCATACGATTCGCCGGAGAGGCCGGGCAGCTTCGGCTGAGGAGAGCACCTCCAAGTGCGGGGTCAACGAGGATGAGGAGAGGGTGCCAAAGAATCTGGGAAAAGCGGCCAGTCACGGAGCCCCTAACGCAGACCAGACAGGTAATGCTGTGCGCATTTTACAGGCTGTTACTCATTTTTATGACGGACTTAGCTGAAATGCGGAGAGCAGCAACATAAAAGAAGCAAATAAAACCCAACAATGTATTTTTAAAAACGAAAAGTATTCAGCTTTAAATATTAAAAAAGAGAGCAAAGATTAGATTTTATGTTAAACGTGTAAATGTAGCGAAAGTTAATGTGTCAGGGTTGCACAGCGTGCGCGATGCACTCGACTACCTTTTGACAGCTCTGTCAGCGAACTGCCAGTGAGGAAGGGAGGGGAGGAAAGGTGGGGGTGGTGTGTGTGTGGGGGGGGGGGGGGAAAACATTTTAGGGGAAAAAAAGAGGGGGGGGGGGGGGGAGGGGGGGGGGGGGTGTGGGGGGGGGGGGGGGGGGGGAAACTACTTTAAGAGGAAAGAAGAGGAGGAGTGTGGGTGAAGGGGGTTGGGGCCAGTCAGAGCCCGGTATCGCTGAGGCGTGTAAACTCGCCTCCTGGTACAACTCTCACCGGCAGACACTCTTCCCCCCACCCCACCCCCAGAAAGGATTTTCTCCCTTCGCTCTTTCTCTCTCTGGCATAATTTTCCACCAGAGAAGGTCAGTTTAAGAATGCGTGGACCCCGAGGAGGAGGAGCTGTTGGTGGTGTGACGCTGAGTCATGGCAGCCAGGCTGCTCCAGGCACATCCGGAGCTCTCCTGGGAGCCTCTATCCCTCTGAGAAGAAAAAAAAAATAACGGGTCCCTGTAGCTGCTATTTAGGACACTAACTGCCCTCTAGCATTTCTTATAATTGAAGTCATTCAGTTTATCTGGGGCAACTTGCACACTGCAGAACTCAGCAGCAAACGTTGGACTAACAGAATAAATGCT